AAAAGCTCATCATTCTTATTTGTTAGGTTAGTTCATCTAATGTTAATGGCCCCAGAGGTTGGTATCCCTTATTTTGCATCAACTGACCTCCCTTTGCTTTCAAAAGATGACAATGTATTATTCCCATAGATAATCTTATATTTCTGGGCCGTCAAGGTAGCTCAGTGGTCATGGGTTCAAACCCAGGCGGCCACTGACCCTAGTTGATAAAAAAAGAAATAGGTACATGTAGCAACTATGCCTTCGTCAAGCGCTCGGTACTTTGAAATGAAAATTGCAGGTTTTTCTGATAAGACCTTGAATCCGATGGCCTGTGTCACGGCAGGCGGTGGCACGATAAAATCCCTCATTCCTCAATGATGACGTCTCTATATGAGTGAAAAATTAATGAACTGGACGTAAAACAACATACAATTAATTGATAAATCATTTTTGGTGTTTTATTATGAATATTATTGAAAACATGTTTATGTATCTAAGTATAGTCAACTAAAAAAATATGTGACTGCTCATAAATTTGCTAAAATGTTTATTGCCTGAACTTAAAGTGAGCAAATATTTCACTGCATCATGCATAGTCAGTGACCCAACGTTTCCTGGTCATAGATGAAACGTTATGAGACAAACATTCACAAGACTAGGGATACTTTTTTGAGTGCAATTGCTTTTTCATGCTCTGAAATATTCTCTCTCTCTTTTTGGCTCTTTGTTTGACTTCCATTCCCTTTCGAACCCACCCATCTTACACACCCCCTTTTTAAATAATTTGTATAGTTACATAAACCCATGCAAGGTATGGGGACATAGTTCTAAACTAGATTATAATAGGATTTTCCACTGTATGTGCCTTCATGAAGGCTTTTATTGCTTATGAGATAAGAAATCAATACACAAGAGAAGACAATAACTTTAGATAGGAAAATAATTTTTTGGTTTTAAAGATATTATATAAAATTGAAGCAGAAAAGGCAAAATTGATGAGGTCTAGAATTCTAATAATACGTTTTTTCGGGAATGTTTTGTTTTGGAAATTGCAGAAGTAGAAAAATAGTAATTTGGTAATAAGGGTCTTCTCATGTGTTATTTCGCCGAAATATGGCTGAAATATTCCCGACTCGGCGTTAACCAATAATAAACTATACTATATTGCAATACCTATGGAACTGAGAACCTTGTTGCCAATTGTTGCAAATGGTGTCCATAGTCTTCTCCATCTTGAATCTCGCGACAAAACTCGCCTAACCGAGAGGCTTGTGATTCGTAACTTTATGCCTATTCTGAGTTTAATTGTGTTAATGAAAGTAGTTATTTCCAAGAATCAAAAACACACCTCGTAAACATTTTGAAACTTTTAGGCCGATATTTTTTTTTTAGATTCTTCACTTGTTTTTGTTAAAGGAGGGGGTGATTAAGGGTTCAAATTAATCATCTGAATATTTTTATTCTTGTTAATGGATTTGCTTTTATGCTTGTTAATATACATTTGCATGTGTGGTCTGGTTTTTTAAAATTTATTTCTTAGTTTCCCTTTGTTTCACGGTTTTTTGCTTGTATGTTGTTTAACGTCCCTCTCGAGAATTTTTCACTCATATGGAGACTCCACCACTTGCCGGTGGAGAGCTTCAATTTTGTCCTATACTCGGCACTTACGGCCATTGAGCAGTGAGGGATCTTTTTGTGCCAGCACCTACTGCGACACGGGACCTCGGTTTATACGGTCTCATCCGAAGGACCGGTCTCCACGTCCCACAGTGGGATTCGAACCCGCGACGTAAGGATCAACTCCTTATGCCGCGACTCTAGAGCAGATGCTCTAACCACTGCGCCACGCGGGCGACTTTGTTTCATGGTAATTCTTCTATTAAGAAGTCAGATTTCATTTGATAGCACCCTCAACTCTCTGCTCTCTGAGACTCACCAACATAAAAAATCTTCCTATAGCTTTTTTTTTTTTTTTTTTTAAAAATAAGGTACAATATTTCAAATTGTGTTCAAAGGTTAATAAAATATATAATGGAATGGAAAATTCATTTTACCAATTTGGACCCAAGGTGCAGCAAAATAGTGTTTGAAGTCCAATATTTATAATATATGATGAACAGGGAGTTAGTGTCACGAGACATAAATACATACTAATTTTTACATGACTATTTTTATGTGTAATGTATATGCTGAAGTAAATTAAATTGAATACTATACTTGCATGTTACTGTATTTCCCCAGATTTACTTTCATATGAATGCTGAATCAGTGACGTGGCAAGACAATTCGTAATAAAATATCTGAGTAACGGTTCTACCAGTCTTATTAAAACCAACACCCATTCCCATACTAGTAATACGTTATATTTCCATTAGTGAACTCTCCAAAATTAGAGGCGCGTTTGGTCGTCTGACAGGGACAGCATGGCGTTGCGGATAATACAAAACATGCCAATCTCAATCCAATTTTTAATGTTAAATGTATTTGTCATTCCAATTAAAGAATGGAAGAGCTAAAAGACATATGTAAGAGAGCGAGAACCCTAAATTTATCATCCATTAATAAAAAATACGACATTTCCGAGGCATGTATATTGTATTTAGATGTAGCATACGATAAATAGATACATACGATCAACAATATAGATATAAATTGATATCGTTGTCATTCCTACTCTTGAGGTATATAAAGTCCACAACAATAAAATATTTCATTTGCATTTTCTTAGGATTTGTTCATCGACATTCAACATACTGTTTACATGTTTACGTTACGTTTGTCCCTGAAATCCCGCGAGATCTGTACATTTACCGACTTTTTCACAAAAGAGCTCACTAAGAAGTATAACTCTTCCATAGTGGAAATAGAACGTATTGAATGACCAGTAGGACAAGGGTGATGTTTTTTTTTTTTGTTTTGTTTTGTTTTGTTTTTTTGGAGGGGGAGGACTTGGCATTGATTATTGATCAGTGTTGATACATGTTTTAGTTTCAGACAATGAAATATAGAGAATGGATATGCTATCTTCATAGCTTCGCCCTCACTAATGGTTGCACCATCTAACATATAATGCTGTATTCGCTTAAAAAAGTAAGTTTGCTAAGGATTAGCTTCACTTTTCCTTCCGTTTTGTAGAGTATCCTAGAGAGTCTTATCAGCGACGTTTTGAGGAAAACATAAAAAAAGTAATTAATATTTATTAAACATTATTTTGTCTTAAGTGCTTTGCATTGAAATAATTGAGTATGTACATGTAATTTCGTATTTGAGATAAATACCCTCTAATTATATTGATTTGTTTTCAGTGGGATCAAGACATTTATTTATAATTATGTGGACTAATGGCCTTTGATATCACTTGTTCTTGATCTCGGAATATATCCTTCTCTTTTTTTTTTGGGGGGGGGGGTCACAAAGGAAACACTTAGAAGGGAGAAAGAAAATATGGACGAAGAATTAGTAAAGACAACTTTAAATTGTTTTAATGGGAAAAAAAACAACCAAACAAAAACGTAAGGAAATATACATTATGACATATATATAGATATATTTAAATTAAATAAATGAAATATATGGAGATAACGAACAGTATTCAAGCTCAAAAGTCCATTAAACAGTACAAATTTTGGAGCAGAGCAAACATGGACCTCTTAAATATCAGAGGTGGGATCAGGTGCCATGGAGGAGTTAGAATCCCCTGCTGAGCGGTCACACCCGCCGTGTGCTCCTTGTTACGATCGGGTAATAACGGAAAAGTCCGCCGACAATTCAGCGTGTAAATAATGACCTAACAATTAGTATGAAAAACGTCAGTCAGCGTTTGATTTAATGATAAATTATATTTCCTGACAAGGTCATTGCATCGACCATAGAACTTACGAAATGAAGACTTAAAACGAGACTGCTGATACTTATGTTTCATTAGCTTGTTTGTCAATAACTTATATCGTTTTAGAAATTGTTCATACGTAGAGCATGCTCTTGCATACCGAATCAACTGAGAGATATAAGCCCCGTATGTAGGTGATGAAGGTATACTGCTGCATAAGCAAGGGAAGTTGACGATTGAAAAGGTTAAGTCATCACATTTATCATAAAGCTTGGTTGTTGGATTACCAATAACGTCCTTTTCTAATAAAATACCCAAATGTGAAACAGATGTGTCAGACTCTGACTCACATTTGTTTTATATTTATTTCAAGCGACCGACCAACTTTAATCTTGGCGACTGAAAAGTTTGTTTTCATAAGTGTATTTAATTCTTTTCTTTATTGTTTTAAATTAATTTTCATCTAAATCCGTTTTTTATCGACTGACTTTGTTCTACTGCTATTCTTAAGCGTTTCTTGAAAACAAAATGGCGGCCACAACATGTGGCCATTGTGGGTAAGTTCATGTCCTAAAACAACAGCGTCATGTTAACTTTATTATATATCTTTAAATTATTACAATTTTACAGCTATTAATTTTAGTTAAAATAAACCTGTGGATCTGAAAAGAAGTCTTAAATGTGAAAAGTTTACAGACAGACACCAGACAAAATGTAATAAAAAAAAGCCTACTTAAGTGAACACAAAACAGACAGAAGAAGACTGAAACATTACATATTTGAACTAAATTGGTGGAAATTTTTACTGTTTTTTAAGGAAAAAATGATAATGTCAGATATAAAAAGATTAAGAAACCCTCTTTTTCATCAACTTAGCATCATGCGTGAACTTTATTTGAGTTTTTTTTTTTTTTTTTTTGAAGAATATATGCATTTATTTGTGTGTTTCAAATACTTTATGTTAATATAGTTCATTCCTTTCATTCAATTTTTTTTTTTTTTTTTTTTTTTTTTTTTTTTTTTTTTTTTTTTACATTTTATCAGTAAAGAAAAAGTATATTTTTATTCGAATTTTTGTTCATTTAAAAGGTCGAAAAGCACTCGAATGATTCAAAGCCGAAAGAGAAAAGGGGGACTGAAACAGAAATAAATGAGCATGGATCTATGAAAACATGGCTTGCCATAATCATCAGTATCATTTTGATTATTGGTTTCGTTACGATGATATCATTGCTTGCTGTTAACCTCCGTTAGAGCTGCGGTAAGTTATAACATCATGTTTTTTCTCCCAAAGAATTGTTTCCTGCAATTAAAGCATTAGCTTAAAAACGAAATTGCCATTGAAAATACTCAGACTTGGGGTTAAATTTGAAAGCATTGTACAAGCTTTTATCATTTTCGATCTTTTCGCATCCTCATGTAGCGTAGATTAATTAAGGTTTATTAAAATTACACATTAGGACATAAGTTTATGTAGTAAAATATAGGGAAAATCGTTCAAATCTTTCTTTGCAGAACAACTGGCTCTTGATAAACAATCACCCTAAGGTAATGTAGATAGAAGTTTGATCAAATCATGTCCCAGTGTGGGTGAGGCCACAATCGGAGACCAAAGTCTTACTTGGAATAACAAAAGTTGAAAAAGAATTTAAAAAAAATGACTGGAGCACAGCAGGACCATATTAATCTTAATGTGCTTGCATCTTTAGGCAATGTAGATTGATGTTTGTTTAGAATGTATCCCAAGGTTAGAAGAGGGGTTCCGAGTTTTTGTATAAAATTATAGAACATATTTTTAAAAAAGATTAAGACAATACTATATCAATCAGTATGCAAATATTTCTAAATTCTGTTGTTTCATTTTTTTAAAATTCAATTTATGGACCCTGGGGTTAGGGTTGGGATATATCGGAAATCAGATTATATTACATAATGCTAGAATACAGGGTAAAAATCTTCTACAAAACAAAGCAATATTGATATTAAAGCATCCCTATGAAATTAGTTGCAAATCCTTTTGAAAATGAAAGCTATTTATAGCAGTCATATGCAAAAAAATTAAATTAGCAGTTCTTACATTAGAATTCGTAATGTTTTATACGATATAGGAGGCAGTGTACCAGAGGATCAGAAAAGACTAATTGGTGAGGTTTTTTAAAACTCATTTAATAATTTCAATAGAAACAGAAAGTTTTGTTTTAGTTGTAAATTTTAGATCAATTTCTTGTCCAGCATTAATACATGAACCATTTTTTTTTAACATGACAGATCATTTTGAACAGAACAAAATCTGATATTGCACCAGCAAACGAGCCGTTTGAAAAATATATTGGGTAAGTTCTTTTTTAATAAAGAAGTCAAAAACATTTCTGCAATGCATTAAAAATCATACCGCTGTTATAATTGCTTTTTTTAAAAACAGGAACTCTTCCAATCTCTGGCAAAAATTTAATGAAAAATACCAAATACTGTACACATACATGTATAAAGTATAAACAACTTTTTCTGATAGAAGTGTTTAATTTTGTATAGACCAAGGAGAACTCTTAAAACGTGTGCATATGAAGGTAAATTATGAATAATGTGATTATTATGTAAGTTGACATCAAACCCAACCCCCAACCCCCAACCCCCCTAAAAATAATAATTAACAAGGTTCATTTGGGTTTTCTTTCATTTTTAATGAGAATTATTTGATGTCATTGAAGTTTCACCACACTCATGGTCTTCCAAGGGAATGTCTGTCTACCTATTATTTTTGACCAGAAGGACTTGGTCCAAGGCTCAGGTAAATTGAATACTTCTACTATGCTGTATTGATACTATCATTCAGTTTGTATCGCGGTATATTTTCATTTATAATTAAGATCTTTTTTTCAGCTTTTTTTTTCTAATTTTCGTGAATGTGAAATGTATATCAATGCAATTTAACGTGTAAGGTCAATGCCCATGAACCTTTGCCGGCTTATACACTGTACCTGTGATAAAATTAGATAACCCTTAGGTACTGCAAATTTAAACAAACGTGAGTACTGCGTATATATAAGGTTAATACGGAGTGCAACCATGGATGTCCACACACTTAGTCAACCGTTACTATAGCGAGCTGACAGGAGAAGTCCATACACCAGCACTCTTCCACAAGGGATAAGCTGGGACTTTGCACAGATACACGGCAAACATTACCACATATTTGCCACTTACAGTCGATCAGTTCTATCGATTAGAAACACTGGCAGGCAAATCCACACACCAGTGTTCTGCCAAAAGTATCAAGCAGAGAAGTTCAGTCACTTGATCTTGCGCAATGACAAACAGGGATGACTGCCCACTTGTCAGTATAGATGCCAAGTCGAGAGCAGGGAAGTCACACACTCTTTCAGTAATAAGCAGTGATGATCACGCACTTATTACTACATGTATATCACAGTACTAGTTAAACCTGGTAGTTTGCACACTTATAACAACCTCAAACATGTTTGTCGAGTTTGACCTTACATAATTTTAACGTACAATGCATAGTTTATTGTGTTTGACAAAGCTAAGAAAAGTGCTGAACGTACACCAATCTAACAAATCATACAGAAATAACTTAGAAATCATTCAATGATAATACTTTACCACTTTTTTTTTTAAATAAAAAATAACGTACTATTTTTTTTTTACAAACAATTAATAGAATTAATAACAAAGGCGATAACTTACGAAAATTCAAAATAATTTCGTAACATTAAGAAAACTGAAGGAATGGTCTCATTTCTGATGAATAGTTAATCCCTGAAAGCAATGGGTATAAGAAAGATTTTTGACCAAAATACAAACGATTAAAAATATTCAAATCTAGATATCATTGAGATGGTGGCCATCTCAAAGGGCCCCGCTTTCAGCAAGGAACATGAAAAAGTAAAGGAGCTGAAAAGGGTTTATTTTGAAGAGGAACACTTGTGTACTATTAAGGGATATGTTGTTTGAGTCTAAAGGGCTTCTATGTCAACCTTGGTATAATAAAAAATGGCATGAAAATCACGAGTGCTCCATACCCTCTATCAAAAAGCAGCACAAAAATCACAAATGTTGCATATCCTCTATGAAAACTGTTGCATATGTATCAAAATATGGAAGGAAATTCACAAATGTTCTGTACCCTACGTCAATTGGTAAAGTTTGAGGCTGACTAGACTAATAAGAGAAAGAAACCATGCACCGAACAAAGATTTTAAACAGAGAGGCTATTTTTGACCTTGACCCTTGACCTAGAAACTTCGTTCAAGGTCACTTCACATCCATTGATCAGTGGCACTCTGTGAGTGAAGTATGAGCCACATTGGACCAAGAGGAGAGAAGATATGCTCCGGACAAGGATTTTTCATATATATAATTCTTCTATGACCTTGACCTTAGACCTAGAAACATGGTTCAAGGTCACTGCACACCCTTTACCCAAAGACACTCTGTGGGTGAACTATAAGCCAGATTGGGCAAAGGAGAGAGAAAATATGCTCCGAACAAGAATTTAACCAGAGAGGCTATTTTTGACCTTGACCCTTGACCTAGAAACTTTGTTCAAGGTCACTGCACATCCATTGACCAGTGGCACTCTGTGAGTGAAGTATGAGTCACATTGGACCAAGAGGAGAGAAGATATGCTCCGGACAAGGATTTTTCATATAATTCTGTTATGACCTTGACCTTAGACCTAGAAACATGGTTCAAGGTCACTGCACACCCTTTACCCAAAGACACTCTGTGGGTGAAGTATGAGCCAGATTGGGCCAAGGAGAGAGAAAAGATATGCTCCGGACAAGAATTTAAACAGAGAGGCTATTTTTGACCTTGACCCTTGACCTAGAGACTTCGTTCAAGGTCACTGCACATCCATTGACCAGTGGCACTCTGTGAGTGAAGTATGAGTCACATTGGACCAAGAGGAGAGAAGATATGCTCCGGACAAGGATTTTTCATATAATTCTGTTATGACCTTGACCTTAGACCTAGAAACATGGTTCAAGGTCACTGCACACCCTTTACCCAAAGACACTCTGTGGGATAAGTGTGAGCCAGATTGGGCCAAGGAGAGAGAAGATATGCTTCGGACAAGAGATCTCAGACGGACGGACGGACGGACAGACGGACGGACAGACTGATCACTATAGGGCGCCCGCAGAGCGGGGCCCTAATTAACGAATCTTAGCAGTCAAAATCTTATTTTTTGAAATTCTGACAAATATATGCATGACTTTAATTCTTGTTTACCGTCACGATAGCTCAGTCATTGGAGCGCTCGCTCCTTGGTCGGAAGGTCGTCAGGTCGAACCCCGGCTTAGTCCGAAATATCTGACGCTTTCCAGGCTTTTTTCACGATTTTGATATTTTACGTGGCAGGAAAACGTCAGAACCGGCGCCATTACGATAACTGGAAAATTCACCGTCTCAAACCGGGGCTCATTTTCGATACTTGTGAACTGAATTCAATGCCGAACTTACAATTTATCAGTAACACAATGCTTCTAGTACTCACCCATATCGGTGAGAAGAAAATATCACTCCTCATTTCGATACAGGTCTTGCAAGATTTTGAAATGCACGAAATGAAAAGAAAACTCGACCGTCTGATAAAATGTTTTCACTAGACTGTATATTTCATAAACAAACCCATAAAAACGATGTTGGTGAGTACTAAAGGCATTGTATTATTAAAAAGTTGTTAATTCAGCATTTAAATCGGTTCGCAAGTGTCGAAAATCAACCCGAGAATGCCGCCTCCAGTTGGACACGGCGAATTTCCAGTTTTCGTAATGGCGCCGGTCCTGACGTTTTCCTGGCACGTAAAATATCATAAACGTGAAAAAAAAGCCTGGAAAACGTCAGATATTTCGGACTCACCCCGGCTGTGACTGACCGAAGTCGACAAAAATAGGTTGCAACTGTTCCTTAACCATGCGCTCAGCACTTTGAAGTAAAAGTTGCAGGTCTTTCGGATGACACCTTAAAAACCGAGGACCCCTTGACAAGGTAGGCGTTGGCACGATTAAGATCCTTCACTGCTCAATGGCCGTGAGTGCCGAGTTATGGTCTAAATTTGAAGCCCTTCACCGGTATACGGTTGAGTCTCTATATGAGTGAAAAATTCTCGCAAGGAATGTAAAACAACAAACGATCAATCTTCAAACTTCATTTTCTATTATTCACCGTTTTCTGTCTTTAAGGAGAATTAATCTGCATCCACTGAATGAGTTCTTACGAGCTTACGATGTTCACTTTAGCTTTGTTCTGTATTTTATTTACTAGCGATTTGTCTAGAAACATCACCATAAATTGTTCTATCAAAATATGTGCTCAGTTCAAACGCCATAATTATTGGGGCAGGACATCAATACAACGATTAAAAAATTGAGAAAAAGTTAAGTGGTCAAGGTCTAATTCAATACAAGATAAGTTTGATTAGTAAACATTATATCTTTCATATGGCATTGGTTTTACTCAAACTCTTTTAAACGTATATAAAACGTACCGAAAACTCATCTAGAAGATTAAATTCCTTTCTTTTGCAACGTCATGAAACTATCTGTCTGCCAAAAATGTTCCGCCAAATTCTTGGCATACCCTTGAGCAAGCAAAACGCCAAATTTTACACCAAATTAAAAAACCTCTATACGATATCATACCAATCCAATTATATATTGTATTTTGACATAAGAATCAATATGAGACTATTTTAATACAAGTATTGAATATATCTTTTTTTAGGCATGGTGTTCTAACATTGGCGGAAATTTAGCAGAAATTGAATCTGAAGAGGAAAACACCTTCATCCTCAGGTTCACTCTTAGTAAAGCTAACACAACCGAAGGTTCAAATTTTACACTGTCGTTGACTTTATTTCGTAATCTAGATGCATTGTTTTTATTTGTTTTCTTCGTATGAAGTGTTGATTTCTTAAACTTTAGTGAATATTCACGTGAATTGAAATTAAACAAAGACTGTATGAGGTGAAATAATCCCAAGGCCTAAATTTATTGTAGCTTTTAATTAATTTTTCTTTTGTCCAATTCACCAGTGTATTGGACAAAAGAAAAATTAATTAAAAGCTGCAATAAATTTAGGCCTTGGGATTATTTCAAAATTTTGCCAATAAAAACTTCTTTGAGATCACGTGCTTCATTTTGTATATTGCTTAAAACTTCGAATTTATAATGCTGTTCATTTTAAAATTCTATTGAAGTAGTAAAAAATACCTCGTTATCCAACCAATAGTGCAAGTATAAAAACAACCATACATGTATTTAAAGACTTTTTTTTAAGCGTAAAAAGTTTGCCAAGTGGCATAAAGGAATTAAAATTCAAATATGACACACCTTCAACGTAAACGGTCAGAGAATATTTCCTTGTTTCTAAGAATGTAATTCAGAAACGAAAATAGATAAATTTAATAAATATTAAGGAATGAATTAATTTATCATGGATTTCCATAAGAGTCCTTTTTATACTTGAAGAAATGAACTTAATTCTATTTTCACATATTAAAAGTACCACCTTTGTTTTACTAAAATAAATTAAGAACTAAAAAAAATATTCAGAATTTTGACTTTCCTTTAGTTAATCTACTGACCTTGCAATGTGCATAGCTGCAGTAATTGCCATTTTGTGTCTTCACGCGACTTCTGTATCATTTCTGGATAGAGTTTTTCTTTCTTAACCAAAGAAAATAGTTTGAAAATGATTTATTGCACTAAAACTTTTAAAAAGCAGGTTCAGATGTTTACAGCCAAAAATGTCCACTTTATATGATATACTCATTCTGCTATGAACCCCCCCCCCCCCTCCAGTTAAAGACTTAATGATAATGATGAATACATTTGCAGTATTTGAATGAAATTTCTTAAAATTATGAATGGTACATGTTTATTTGAATATGTTTCATTCTTTGCTCTCATAGTTTTTTTGTATAATATTTGCCTATGATATTTCATGTACATACAAGAATAATATTACTATACATATATTTCAGAATATTTTAAACCAATATAAGGGTTTTTATTATTTTTATGGACGATTGTATTTCACATTTTAGATGGCGTTTGGGTAGGAGGCACGGATAAAGAATCCGAACGTGTTTGGAAATGGGTGTCTAATAATAAAAATGTAACAATTAAATTTTGGCGTCCCAAAGAGCCAAACAACATCCGTGGTATTGAAAATTGTCTGGAACTCAAAGGAACTGAAGGAAGATCATGGAATGATTGTTCTTGTGAAAGCAATAAGCGATTTTTATGTGAAATTTTGCAAAGTGAATGAGTTTTTGATACCGATTTCATTCCTTCACAATCTGATCAATAGTTTTTTTCTAGACCGTAAAAAGGGAATGGTAATCTATGAATCAAAAGCGCACTTCATGCTGCAATCAATGGTCAAACGGGCATTGTTAAAAGACTTTCTTTTTAACTTTCAAATAATCATTTACTTTAGCATTAATCTGAAATCTCTTATAATCTTCTGATAAAGAAGTCTATTCGTTAATTTCTCTCTCTCCATTTTTTAATTGTCATTTTATATATGTGTTGTCAGAATCTACTGTGACTCGGGACGTTTTTTTCTTTTTTGTTTCAATAGGTGTATTGGAGTGGCATAGTTGTGCAATTATCTTTGCTTGGATTTTAAAACAGCTGAGTCGTTTTGATTATGTACACCTTTGATAACATATTGAATTTAATCGACAGGGGATGCTTAACTCCTCCATGACACCTGATCCCACCTCTGATGTTTAGAGGTCCGTGTTTGCTCTGCTCCTATTCTGTGTTGTTTCAATGGCATTTTGAGCTTGATTACTGTTCGTTATCTTCATATTTCATTTAAAGAAAAAAAAAGACTTTTTTCTTATTCTTTTCTCACAGCAAAGTCTGACCCATATGTTTCATGTTTGGATTTTTTACTGGAAAAAGACTTTAATGTTAACGTAACAACAAAGCTTTATGATAAACGTGATTACTTGTGATGACTTCAATTTTTCAATCGTCAACTTTCCTTACTTATGTAACAATATGCCCTTATCACCTGCATATGGGGTTTTGTCTCCCAGTTGATTCTATACGCAAGAGCATGCTCTACGTAGGAACAATTTCTAAAACGATTGTAAAAGTTAACGAAGCAAGGATATCAACAGTCTCTTTTGAAGTCATCATTTCGGAAGTTTTATGGTCGATACAATAACCTTGTCAGCAAATACAACCTATCATTAAGTCAAATGCTGACTGACTTTTTTCATACTAATTATAAGACCATTATTTACACACTGAATTGTCTACGGATTTTTCCGTTTTTCCCGATCATGACAAGGAGCACACGGCGGATGTGACCGGTCGGCAGGGGATTCTCACTCCTCCATGGCACCTGATCCCACCTCTGATGTTTTTGGAAGTCCGCGTTTGCTCTGCTCCCGATTGGTATTGTTTAAATGGACTTTGAGCTTGAATACTTTTCGTTATCTCCATACTGCATTTTTTAAAGAAGCAAACCATGTCTTTGGTTTTTCTCTATATACTCTTTAATGTATATTATTGATATATTATTATAAGTAAATTATTAGTAAAGTGCTTTTGTTTAAATATTTGCAAATGTTGCACATGTACCCTACAGCATGCATGCATACAGAATGGAATATGCAAAAATTTATTTGCATCAAGTACATCAATCATAACAAAATATGTGATTAAGCCTTCAAAAAAATATATTTTTTATACATATAACTAAGCCTTAAATTTTAGGTCATACCCACTATTTAAGACCCCTTTTCCTTGTAGTCATATTTCTTGGCTAGGTACTCTAAAGGTCTCGTATTTTTTCCCCTCATAATAACTTGCTACACATTAAAACATAAATAAAACCTAAAACTAACAAATTGCAGTTCTATAAAGTTAAAAATTAATAAAATCCATATGGTACTTTTGTAAGTATATTCGTCTCTGAATATAAAGGATATTTTCACTTTCATTTCAATAGTTTTACATTATCAATCGCCATTGCATAGTTACATCTTCACCACGATCATGAAAGCAAGTCTGCTGCGATACCTATTCCGAAAGAGAAATCTCTCCACGAGGTGAAAGAAAATAAATTGAGAAATTATTCACAAAAAAGACTTCCGTGTTATTCATAAGAGTCGGCACAGGTGTCAGATAGCACTGCTTTTCCTGCAAAACCATGTCCGTCGTTTTTTCTATGACCATAAACGATTAATCCGAAGGCGGCATTATTAGTAGATTTAATTTTTAACATCCCTCCCGACACTTGTAAAACCAGCACGACAAATTTGATGTCCTTGATCGTCACGGTGGCATAGAATTTTCTGTCATTCAAGTACTGTATTATTTCTGTGTCATTAAGTACCATGTTGTAAAGAGATTTTTCCTCAATCATTAGACCAATATAACTTTTTTCAAAATTTCCAGGAACTGTCACTAGATATTTGTCTGTATACTGCCTAATTCCTGGTACAGTAATCATGTAAGGGTCACCTGTGAAGTAAGATCCAGTAGAAAAACTAGTGACCAGAACTGGCTTCTCTGAATCGATCACAACAACTTCTTCGTCCGAGAAATTGACTTCAAAATATCCATTCGGCTGAAGTGTTTTCACTGTTTGTTTATTTCCAATTTTATACGTAAGGCGGTTTTTGAAAGGAGACACGATTTTCAAAATTGTTCCTTTCCTGTTATAGTTAGGTGGTACTATATACATTTTATCAAGTCTATCAATTGGTGGAATTTGTTCATCATGCTTACTGCAATATCCAAAATCACTATTGTGTTCAAAAGCTATTTTATCGCATTGACTGCCAGAAAATACTGCTACTGGCGATGTTGCATGGATAAATGTTCCTGATGCATCTACTTTATGCCATATTTGATAGGTTTCAAGCTCATTTAAAACGAGAATCATTGTACTGCCATTTCGGTATGTTATTCCATCTACTTTCAATGGCAAATCAGGATCAAAATGAAAATAAATTTTGATTACAGTACCATTTTTGGGGGAAGCTATTGCAAATTGAGAATTTGGAAAAGTATTGTTGAACTCGCTATAGGCAGTAGAAATTATGTATGATTTCGATATCGAATTTATTGGAAGAATTACTGTGCTATCAGACGAGTGTATATAATTGTCAATAATGATAACGGAAGCATCCTTAGTAGTCTCAATCAGTAGTGCTTTTTGTTCAACTTTGAAATATGACAGTGCTATCGTGTTTGTCACGTTTATTTCTTTCAAGTTTCTGGATTGTGTCTCTACTTCGTTGAATAGTTGTGATGAATCTAAAAACTCAGACACCAATTTAAACTCAAAATCTTCTTCTGATAAAATAAATATGGTCTTGCTTTGGTTTGTAGCTTTGGGGTGATTGTCAGTAAAACATATCAAGAACCGACGTCCCTGAATTCCTGTAATACATGTCTAACATGTAGAATTGATATTGCATTAACATATTGCATTAACAGAATTACACACCGTAACAGATAAAACAATTTACAAGCGTTAGCCACGATTTTATTGGAATCTAGGCGATGTGAGTATTTATTATCTTAATTAAATAAACCGAAACGTAATGTACCTGTTTTCCCTGCTGCAGGATAATTCATTCCTGTAGAAGGCACATTAGGACAAAGCATTGTTTTCTGGTTACCTGTCGCACATTCAAGATAAACATAATTAATAGTGTAAATACAAATTAATTTGAGCGCAGCGAGCTCTATAGACTTATGAGTAAGTACAGTGGTAATTCGAACTGAAATCTGTACCAACGTCAATCAAATTTATGTGTGTTACTAAAACGCGGAACCGAAAACCGAACAGAAAGTGGAATTTACGAAACGGAAAACAGAAAAAAGTAATCCAGATATCATCATTTGGTAAATATATAAATCATACCATAAATTCTTTATATTTAATACAAATATAGGATTATAATTCAATATTTTGTAGTTGGATATGGGATTTATTTCACGAGTGGGGCAGGGTTTTTTGACATTTTCACAAGGCCGAAGCACGAGTTAAAAAAATTAAAAAAAAATCCTGTCTCACGAGTGAAATAAATTCCATACCCAACAACAAAATATTGAATTTTCTGTTAAGTACGTTTTCTTCAATTTTACCTCTGCCCCTGTCTTTTCGTTACACAGTGCCATAGGCTGTGAAGTCATAGTTGGGCGGTCGAGACGTCATAGCTTAGTAATTGTTAGATCGAAAACACTGTACATTAACATGGATTTCAACAAAATTGGCAGCTTTAGTCTCTCTAGGAATGGTTTATTTACTTTGTCTTACAACAGGATTTTTTTTTTACAACATTCTTCGTGAAGGGAAGGAAAATCGAGTTTTGCAGTACTTCCGATATTCTTTCACACCATGACAGAATATTACTTTGGCTTCCTTTCACACTGTGACAGAATATCCCTTTTATTCAATAAATTAATTACAGTATTTCACTGTTAAAAATGAAATAAAGGGTTATTAATTCGAGTTGATTTAGTCATGTTTATTCTCAAGTGAAGGTCCCTGGACATTGGCATTTATAAGCATAGGATGCGCAAAACCGAACAAAATTATATTACATTACAATACATATTTATACAGATAATTATAAGAAATGTCTTTGTGATAAAAGATGTACTAGAGGAATTTATTAAAGACCACTGTGATCAATATATATGTCTGGCTATGAGAGAACACGCCATAATTTTCAATATGTTTTAGTATAATTGTTCAACAGACATAAAGTGCCAGGCAACGAAAACAAAAACGTCGACAAAAAGTAATTAAGATCATTTTTTTAAAGAATCTTGCTCCATTATCTGTTTTCAAAAACATCATTTTGGGCTTCTTCATGTTCGCCTTATGTACTTTTTTTTTAAAACCAAAATCTCATTTATTGTATCCACATGCGCAGATCCAGGATTTTTTCTCCAAGGGGAGGGGGATCAATGATCAATTAATATGTCCATTTCATGGTTTGTTGGTTGGTGAGGGTGGTGGGGTAGGTAAAAAAACCCTTTTCCGTCATATTTCTTAACATGAATAAATCTCATTGTAGTGCTAAATCTATATTAGATAAAGAATACTGATTCCTGTCTAATTAATTCCAGTGTCAAGTAAATACAATAACTTAATATGAGGTTTTTTTCCGTTCCGTTCCGCTTTTTAGAGGCACCCCAATTTTTTGGTTAAACTTCTTGAGAATCATTTTGCTACATCAATTCCATCAGGTAATAGCGAATAGAAATTCAACAGTTATCGTGAAAATTTTGTTCATACAGAGGCTTTAAAGGAAATTTTTTTAAAAATGCATCTTTAAAAAAATGCACTATTTATCTTTAAAAAATGCACAATTTAAGGTAGAACCTATGTCGGAAAAGTCTTTGTCACAGGATTTTCAAACTTTTCAAAATGATAAATTAGCACTCGCTTATAAATCAGTTAAGAGTATATGGCATGTTTCCCTGTTATTAAATGTAGTGCAGCCTGTGCAATTTGGAATGATAATTATACACTGCAACTATAATATTCAACCATTTTAGGGGTTATGGGGTACTGGTCATAAAGAGAATATAGAAAATCACAAAAATACTTCTTCAAACATCGTTATAGACTTTTTAACTGAACAGTATTAAGCAATATTATTCAAGAATAAATTCTTTTTTATTCAATTGACATAAAAGATAAAGTCCACAGTTCAACAAGTAGAGGCAAATGCACTCAGTATTTTTTGAGTCAATTTACCACCCTAAATTTGTAAATATTTTTCAAAAGTATTCGTCAAAATGTTTTTAATCTTTAATATGACGAAGAAAATACCCAAATAATTACAAAAAATGATTAAAATATATACCTTTTCCCGCAAACTAATGTAAGATACGTTATTTATCAATACTACTTTTGTTGACCTTTTTGCAGTTACACAGGATTTAATGATTAAATGACTGTTTTGGGGGTTACGTTCAGATTTACAATGTGAAAATTTATCAAAAAATGTAATTTTTTATTTAAAAAGATAATATTTTAGGGAACCATTATTAAAAAAACGAAAAATAAGCAAATACGTAATCAAAAGGAATGCACGTCATTTCATGATAGATATTACAAACTTTAAACATAATCTTTAACAGATCTTTGACTTAGACACATTTCATCAAGATATTACACTATTTATTGGGCAACTACAGATTTCTTAGGAACTTTGCATTCCTTCGAAATAGTTGCATGTCATTCACATTATCACAGTTGTGTATTTTCATTACATGAGATGTCCACTTATCTATAACATCATACGACGTAGGTTCTACGTTTAAGTGCAAATAACATTACCACGTCATATGACGTCGGAGTCTAAACTGAGCTGTTGTGCTATTTGAAGAGACGGATCAAAGCTAAAAGTGTAAGCTACGTATAGAGGTTTTTCATGGTATCCAGTAAATATTTACAACTTCGCTCGCACCAAGGATCGAACCATAAAACGATTTTTTGATTTTTTTTTTTTTAAATTAGAATGATAAAATAATTATTTTTGTGCCACATTAAAATACATCTTTAAATATAATTCAAGTAATATATATTTGTGTCTCTTATTTAACATATCAATACCAATCAGTATATACGAAGTTCAAATACAGATTGATTATTTCCCTGTAAATACATGTAAGATCTAATTTATTTTCTTTCTGTAACCTAAAACATCAAATTACTTAAAAGTATCCATTATGTTTATTTATTTTAAAATCTTCCTCTTCAATTTACTTAACCTTAATTAGTTAAATACACGTATATTGTATACATCACGTACTCTTTAATTGCTCGTCTCCATCCCCTCCAAGTGTAAGTGGAGTCACAATTGATACGACAGCAACAATTATAAATAGTACAACAGCTCCTAGAACAAGTCTCTTTTTTGTGAAAAATCCGATTCTGGCGGTGCTTTCAGACGCGTCTCTCGACTGCAATAAAAAAAAATGAAAAAGTAAGTGAAATGGTTATTTTACCCTAAATTTTCACATCCAACTGTTTTAAATGTGGTTGTCTATAAATCTTCTACAACAACTGATTTAACTAAACCTATACATTCCGGTTCTATATTGCCTACAATTACTCATAAAAGTGAAATGATCAACATTTGTGATCTTATATATATATTATATATTTATATATCCAGAAATATATAGTGTAATCCACACACGTAATCGTATATCAAAAAATCAAAACACCGAAATAAACTCTACCAGTTTCATTTTCAATCTTCAGGAGAACTCCGTGGTTAAACTCCAGACCTGTGGAACCTGCCTTCTAGCAGTGCAGGAACAACGTGATAAACCGCACTACCAACTAAGCAAGTTAAAAGGATGGCGATGTAATTCTTGCGGCAGGGCCCTACACTACACGGTCATTGGGAATGGAAACCGCGATTCGAACATTAGTTTTTGCGAATAGAGGACCGTTACCGTTCACTTTATGCTGATACTATTTTTAATATTCTTATGCACATTCACAATGAACTTATCTAACATAGATGCCCTGAGTGAAGAAATATTATTATTACAGAGTTTATAAATAGTCTATAATAATAATAATAATAAAAAAAACTAGTAAAAGGATAGAGAATTTAAGCGTTCAATATCTTGGCGTTTTATTGGACTTTTGCGAGAAGCGCTGAATTTTACAATCGACAGCTTACTTTCACGCTGGGACAATATATGGAAGCTCTTTTGCGATGTAAATATTAAGCTTTACAGTTAATTAAACGATAATAATAGGTCATTTCAAAGCACATATTACGTTGTTTTGGAAGGGAACAGCAACCACCCTACCCTCCACCCACTCCCTTCCCACATTGATCAAATTTTGCTTAGTTTTCCTTCAGGAATGTTTTTCCTTGATTCCTTCAGAAAATGAGATTGAAAGGAGATACTATCCTTCCCCTCACGAATAAGCTAATTTATGTAATTCTGAATTGCATTATCTCTTGCGTTGATTGCATACTGGTAAATCATGTTAATGCCCCTAACACCATACCTATAACCACTATTAAAGCTTTCTTGTCTATTGTCCATTTCTTACCTCCGTACATAAGGCAGGTTTAAAGTCAAAGTAAGCCGTCGACTGTAAAAGTCAGTGCTTCTCGCAAAAGTCCAATGAACGCTTAGTTTTCAAAATGTTTACGGGTATCCGAAAGTGAGCATTCATTAGCGAACGCCCCGTTGTATTCGACAAATGTCGTCTCCTCATCCGATTTACGACTGTCCAGTATTTATGATGGATAGTCGCAGCTAGGTAAGATGTGTCTATTTTCACAAAAATGTAGATTATTAATCAATAATTTAGTACTTTTAAGTCTCATAAAATCCTCAATAGAAATCATAACGCTTGGTAGGGTCATTGGAATGGTGCAATTTTGAACACTTCCAGGACAGACACCGATTTAGCACAGTTCTCATTTACATACCAACACCGGAAAAATCTCATTATTTTGGGTTATTTGATTCAAATAATTAAATCAATGGGGTGAAATGTTTTAGCTAAATAATAAAGGAGTTATTGAACTGATATTGGTAAATATTGGCACTCGTTGGCTGTACAAATGCACTCGCAATCTCGTGCATTTGTAGAGCCAACTCGTGCAAATATTCACTAAAATGTTTTATTATACTTTCATGTCAAATACTAAAATCTGATTGGTTTAGACGCATTTAACAATCCGTAATGTTACCCTCAGCGTTAGCAACACACTTGAAAACGGGAAACACAACGAAATTGTCAAATGCGTGCAAATCATGCGCGTACGTTTCACCGTATAATTCTCAAAACGTCAGTTGTGCGTTTGAAAGAAGCCGAATAAACTTGACGTCAATAAAAGCTTGCGTCCGGTGTAGCTTACTTGAAAACAACAAACGACAGACGAAACATGCTTGCGAGTGCAGAAATAAAGAAACTTTAGATGATAAAGGATTCTTTGAGTATCAAACAAATAATAAAGAGGTTGGTAAATCTTTTTCGAATTAGCGGGGAGTTTGAAAGCTTCCTAAACGTGAATATAAGGACGATCGACGATTTTTTTTATGCTGACATCCTAAATCAATAAGACATTCAGTATAATAACATAAATGATGCCTTTTTTGGAGGGTAACAGTTGAAATTGACACCCCTCGGAAAACCATTGGCAACCTCCGCTGATCATGACCCTCCAAAACAGGTACCATTTATATAATATAACCCTATAATATAGAAAGCACAGACAAATCCTCAATATCAAGATATCCCTACCCAGGGTTGAACGCTAGACCTGCCCAGCCTGTCTCAGCGTGCACAGAATTCATTGTATGTAATGAGTTCTTTGAATATATTTATATATGAGCATTTAGAATCTACTTTATATATTGTTTTTAAATTTATAAATCTAATCAAAATGATTACTTTCTATATGTTATTATTCCTGCAATAACTTACTTAAATGCAAACTCACTATGCAGAATTCAAATGCATATTATTCATCTGAAAATTTCATAATCAGATCGCTTGCATTAGAAATATTTATAGATCAAGAAAAATTTCGGGGAGATCTAAAGAGAAAACATCATTATTAATCATTTATTTAAAAGAAAAAGAAAAAGATGTGTTTGTAAAACACTGATGCCCCCGTATGGCAACTTATAGCAAAGATTAAACTTTCTCAAATGCAAATTAAATATCTTGGTACCCAAAGTAAGGTCTTGTTCGAGGAATAAAACAGAAATATGAAAGCCCTAGCAGCAATCAATGAATAGATATGGAAAAGCTTTTTTCAAAAATATGTCAACATCAAGGTCAAAATTAATGGTGCCCAAGGAAAGACCTTCTCGCAAGAAATACACGGGTGAAATATGAAAGCCGAAACACCAATCGTTCAAAAGTTATGACCAAGGTTAAAGTTTTTCAAAGGTAGGTCAAACTCTCCAATGTCAAGGTCAAAGGGTCAAAGTTGTTGGCATCGAAAGGAAGGTCTTGTCACAAGGATTACCTATGTGAAGTATGAAAGCCCCAGCGCCAACCATTCAAAACTTATGGCCAAGGTTTAAGTTGTTCAAAAGTAAGTCAAACTCCAAGGTCAAGGTCAAAGGGTCAAAGTTGTTGATATCCAAAGGAAGGTCTTTCCACAAGGATTATACATGTGAAGAATTAAAGCCCTAGCACCAATTGTTCAAAAGTTATGGCAAAGTTAAAGTTTTTCAAAAGTAGGTCAAACTCCGAGATCAAGGTCAAAGTTGTTGGAATCCAAAGAAAGGTCTCGTCACAAGGATTATACATTGTACATTTGAAGTATAAAAGCCTTAGCACCAACCGTTCAAAAGTTATGGCCAAGGTTAAAGTTTTTCAAAAGTAGGTCAAACTCCAAGGTCAAGGTCAAAAGTTGTTGGTATCCAAAGAAAGGACTTGTCACAAGGTTTACACATGTGAAGTATTAAAGCGCTAGCACCAATTGTTCAGAAGTTATGGCCAAGGTTAAAGTTTGGTAAAAAATTTACAAAACTGAGTCAAACTCCAAGGTCAAAAGGTCAAATTTGGTGGTACCCAAAGAAAGGTCTTGCCACATGGAATACACATGTGAAATATGAAAGCCATAGCTCCAACCAATCAAGAGTTATGGGCAAGGTTAAAGTTTTTGCAGACAAACATACAGACAGACAGACAGACGGACGAACAGGGCAAAAACTATATACCCCCGAATCTTCGATACGGGGGTATAAATATAGTAGAAATTCAACCGCCATTATTTATTCTTCGATATTTTAGAACTATCATATTATCATTCATTATTATTACGTTGTATTGCAAAATTTTAAATAAACATGTAAAGCTTTAATTCTAATTCTTGCACTATTGGTATCTAGAAAACAATATTACAACATGGTTTCATTAACATAAATACATAATTATCTCTAGGAAAGTGTAGGTGCTGGCCCTGAATAGAGACATATTGATCTATCTGAATAATTACTGTTACAAGTTATTGATGTTTCAAATTGTTTTAAAATTATACAAAAGATATCTCTGATTTAATAAAAATGGATTTGCTATACCTCAGCTGTTGTTGTTACAAAATTCTCCTTTTTCCCGTTATTTATATCGCCTATTGTGTCATATGCATCATTTTCTTTTCCACTGCTGCCCCCTATCTACATAGAGATAGATATAGATAAGTTTAAACTTTAGATTTAAACTTTTAATGTAACATAAATCATCGGTTTAACATGGTTTATTCTCCATTAACAATAAAACGACGTTAGTTGTACTGAATATGTATTAAATTCTTTGTTAGCTACTTTGAAAAAAGAATTTAGGTATTGTAAAAAATGACAATTTAACGCTATAGTTATTTATTTTATCGATGGGCTACCCCAAAATCATAGTCAGAACCAACTTCTAATCCTCTGCTCTGTCGGCTCACGATGCTAATATAGAGATTATCTGTTTGTTCTTCTTCCTAAAATAGCAATTTTTACATTAATATTTTCCGTATAAACATCTGCATTTTTCAAAGCTTTTGACATTATTCAAAATATTTTAATTTTGTTTTCTTATTTCGTTCATTTTAAATTTTACCAACCATTTGAATGCTAATTCAGAGTTAAAAATAACATGCCCTGATTTCTTTCTGAATTTTCTGATTACCTATACTTAATTTATGATATAGCCTTCCTGACAAAAGCGTAGATCGCGTATCTGTTAAGACAAGTAGTTTTAGAAATTTTTACTGCATATCAGACAAAATTTTGAGTAGATATAAGACAGCATATTATTCTTTAATTTGTAGACAAAACAAATATGAGTCACGTGTTTGTCTTAAAACAGATTCAATTAAAAAAATGTTTGTATTCTCTTTAAGCATTTGTGCGGTTGAGTCAATGTTTATATAGTATTGTAAACATTGTTTCAGTTTAAATATTAATATGAAGTTGTTTTGAACACAGTGATTCCATCACCCGAAATCATCTGTTTGTATGTATACAAGCCGATAAATTAACTGTAGCGTATGTGCAGGAGGCTCGCGATTACAGAACATATCTGACATACCATTAATCCAAGTTTTATTATTTTCCAAAGCGCTTATTTCATATACAGTAGATAATTTGATGAACAATTTTATACATGTGATTACTCTGATGTTAAAGTATTCTCTTCCCCACTTCATCGGGGATATATCGAAAGTAGGGATATCAATCCTGTTCTGTCCGTCTGTCCATCCGTCATTTTGTCTGTACATGAAACTTATTCGTTAATGTATGACATTTTAAAAAATCCTTCAGCTTTTACAGTGAAATTTTAATTGATTACTCCCTATGACAAAAGAAAGACATCTACAATGTACAATTTTTCAGATCAAAATCTAAGGTAGGAAAACAATTTCAACATGCTAATTTAGAGAATTTGTGCCTCCTGCTTTGGGAAAAAAGAAGACCGTGCGCAGTTCTAGGGAGGGTCGGAGCCCCCCCCCCCCCGGATTTGCAGAATTATTAAATGTATACATGTATATTTAAGCAAATAAAAAAAATGCCAATATGGGTATAAAGATTTGATTGCTTATTCTTTTATATGTGTATAGAAGATTCTTTTATATAAAATATTTATCACACTGTAATAATGATTTTATGAGAAGTTTGTACACTTTTTCATTTCATATGTTGAATGCTATTATTTAATAAATCCCCCCAAAAAAAATAATAAAACAAATTAATAAATAATGGGAAAAAACGGGATCGTCTGGGATTTGAACCCGGAACCTCTCATTTGCTAAGCAAGAATCATACCCCTATACCAAAGAGGCACTTGATTATACATCAAATTAAATGCAAACATTAGGTCACATATAATGTTTATATTCACGTTCGATATTGTCAAAATTTTACACAATATATGGTGTCTAATTTAGACTTTAATAAACAATTCTAATAAATGTAATTAGAATATAAAGTCCGCCGACAACCTGTATTATATGTAATAACTCTCCACATGCCCCTGTGCTAAAAATAGTGCCAAGCGACTTTTAATACAACCCCCCCCCCCGGGGGGGGGACACTTTGAGAGGGGCGAGAGAGGCCACAGGGAGTTATGGTATAAAATTTTCATTGCAAAAGCTCAAAAGCTTCTTGAGATATCGCCCGGAAAGGAAAGTGTAACACACAGACAGAATGTATGAATTTACGACCTTGAACTTTGACCTTTTGGCCTCAAAATCAACAGGGGTCTGCCCAAGGCCACAGGGAATTGTTTTTTTAAAATTTCATTGCAAAAGCTCAAAGGCTTGTCGAGATATCGCGCGGAAACCAAAGTGTTAAAACAGACAGAATTTTAAAATTTATGACCTTAACCTTTTGACCTCAACATCAATAGGGTTCTTTTTTAGGCCATAGGGAGTTGCTATGTAAAATTTCATTGCAAAAGCCCAAAGGGTTCTCGAGATATCGCGCAGAAACGAAAGTGTTACAGGCAGACAGAAATACAGACGGAGGGACTTCGGACGGACAGACAGACCGAAATTAATATCCCCCACTTTCAGTGAAAGCGGGGGACAATAAAATACCCAATGGTTTGAAATCATAACACTCTGTGACTTCAGATAGACAACTTTAGATTTTCTGTTTAAAATAAAAGGTAAGGAATTTCGATAAAATTTTCTCGCTTAAGGCATTCAATGCAAATTAAAAGAATAATTGCTACTTTTATCATATATTCGACTTAATGCTTATAAAATGAGATTAACAATGTAAGAAAAAACAAAGAACCTAAACTACGTGAAATTTATTAACAAAATCCTATTCTACTGCTAGTTCTAAGAGTTCTCTTTCCTAAAAAAAAAAAATGGTTTAAAACTTAGAAAAGAAAAAAAAAGTTCTCAAATTCTCATAGCGACCACTTTAATATATATATATATATATATATATATATATATATATATATATATATATATATATATGCGTTATGGATGCATTTTACTGTACATTGATCTGTTTAGTTTTTACATATAATGACACGTTGGCCATAGGTGTCTATGTGAAATTAATTAAGTCATTTATCATTTTGTGATAATTGGAAAAATGTCTTGATAAAACACCCTTTTCTTTTGATGTATGGATTCTTTTTACACATTTTCCTTTATTTGACTCTTTGCTTTGGGGAAGGGGGGGGGGTATTGAATGCCTTAAAAATGGTTTATGACATATACACTTAGACATTATAAAGAAATATGTTAAAACTATGTTTATATGTTTATCACTTTACAACCAAGTTAAGATAATCAGATCCTGCTTCTGTGCCTCTGCTTTGTCTGTCCATACAGCTCACATACGGATTCGTCGGTCGATCTCTCACCTAAGATTTAAATAAATACATCAATACATAAAATAAAATCCAATATTTATCAAAGTTCGTCACAGTGTATATGAAAGGAGAAAAATTATTTCAACTACACTTTTTAAATGCATTGCTTGTTTATACGATTAAGGCCTTCATTAAATTGTTATAAAGTTCATGTGTATATTTTAAAAATATGTAATGTTTTAGAGTTTTATTTTGACAGTTCACTAGTTAATCTTGAGTTCAAACCATTTCCATGGTATGAAATACCTTCAAAGTTTTATTTATACCAATTTACTTACAGTGTAGTTTGTAAATTATCAGAGTGAGAACATACAACATATACATCACATGTTTATAGCATATTTTCACCAGTTTCTGTAGTGTTCTTTGATTAGTAGGCATATTTTTGAATACTGTTTTAATACAAAAGGCGGTATTCCCCTACTGAGCATTGACATTTCGTTTACGACCTTGTCGAATATGTCCATTATGTACTGACTATTTTTAAATAGACTTTTTAACATTCTGATCATTTTTTAAAGGAATACATTTAACGGATCTTACAAGTTCAGCTAAAGTTAAACGGTGTTGAAGCCTTATTTGAAACTCATGACTAGAGATTTTTGCACTTGCGAGATACTCTCCCCTTGTGCTCTCAAATCTCTGCCTGTGTGGATCAAAAAGATTGTTTTATCATTTGGAAAATAGAATAATTACTGCCAATCTAGTTTTATATATAGTAATAAATTTCAAATCGTTCATGTTAATTCATTTAATCAGTTTATCATTGTTTATTTCCAAAAATTTGTAACCTATAAGATTACGGACATTGATCACAATTATCCGAGAGTGTGTTTCGTGAACTAAAGTGATGAAAGATAGTTCATGCGAAAGATACAGAAAATCTACGTTATAATGATAAACTTTCGACTAGGCCTGGGTCAATATATCGATATGTATCGATATTCAAGAGTGTATCGTATCGAAACATTTACTTCCAATACGCATCAGTGATGCAGTTTTTATTACAAATCTGTGAAAAAGTTGGGAATTTCAATCACCAAAGATTATATTCAACTGTTTTGAATTAAAACTGATCAATAATCATATAAACATTAAGAATATAGCACATCTCAGATAAATAGTACATAATTCATTGACAACTGTATTTTAACATGCTGGTTTTACAGATGTTAAAAATTTGAAGTATATTTTGTAATGAAAGTGGGATAAGAACTACAAAATGGGTAATAATACATTATAAAACATTCAGGTTTTATTAAATTAATGCACGAAATGATATATAAGACTTTTCGATAGACTTGTAAAAGAATCCAATATATGGCATATCGCTTTACAAAATATCGTATCGTATCAATTTGTTGCTCAATTCACAGCCCTACATTCGATCAATCTGCTATGAATAATGAAAACAAACTTAACAAAAAAGATCATATTAAGTCTGTCGATGAATAGAATACATGAATGTGTAGTATTTAACAGTTACTTTTTTCAATTATCTGCAATTTGTCTGAGTGTAGGCCTTTCAACTAATTTTTCAAGTTGCACATATGATAAAAAAAAAAAAAACATTTGAAAGATAGTATCATAGGTGCGTGAAATTGTCAAAATAGAGTATAATATATACTTAAATTTAATTAAATCATTAAAAAAGTATATTATCATTAATTGGTTTGTACGATGTTGTGTTTTAAGAGAAGGTAACTCAAGCGTGAGAAACGATCAACAAAATGCCGATTTATGAGTTATCGTTTATAGGAATGGCATATAGGTTGCTTCAACTTGTATTGTTATGTATACAAAAGGGTTCCTTGTATTGTTGTGGACACAAGACGGTTGACCAAAAGAAGGAGAATGTCTTCACTCTATCTGGAATAACAGGATCAAAATGAATGGGAAAGGGACTATATTCAAGATTTATAACTCTTTCTGACAGTTGTTATGAAGAAGAAAATATAATGACACGTTTTTTGTGTGTGCATAGTTGTGCTTCTTCTATAAAGACATATATTTCAACAATTAAATGCAGTAATTCATGATCTTATTCTGTATACTAAGCACGAAGAGGAAAGACAAAGTTTGAAAATTAAATCAGCTTAAAATTAAAAAGGGGGGTTGATTTCACTTTATATTTTTATTTAAAAATTCACCTATAAATAACTGTACAGTGTCGGTAACTAAATAAATAAATTTCCCATTTGTGCTGAATTTTAAAACCACAAGATCCCGCTGACAGTGAAGGAGTACTCGGGAAACACTAAAAATTGACATACTTAAAAAAAGCTTTAAACAACTTCCGGTAATAAGTTATCGTTCTTTACATCGAACCCTAGCGGCAGTTGAAAGCCTATGAGGTGTCTCTGTACAACGTTTAGTGCAATGCAATAGACCATGAGACACTGCATAACAGGCGGGCTCAAAGAAGTAATAACTAAAGTTACAATGTAAATGAGCAATTTTTTCTATTGGAGTCGCTTGTATTACAAATACAAAACACGCATGCAGATTTATTTAAACAGTGTTAGAGAAGGTGCATTTAACTTAATTTTCAGGTCGGAACGGCCAACAATATGGCATGCTCAGGGAGAATAAATGAAAGCGTTAACGCAAACCAAACACATTTAAAATAATATGAATTAAGGACGACTGTACTACAACTTATATTAAAATGACATTCCTACTATATAAAAGTTCATATAGAAAAAAAAAAATGAAAATAAAAATGATATATTTTAAAGTATCAAGCATACCTCATTCAGATGAATGTGTTGTAGGTTTATTTCCCCAGACATTTTGAACAAACCTGATGTCAATCTGCAAATATTTACTACATGAATATAATACCATTATATGTTCAATGTGATTATGAAAGTAAACAAATAACATCATTTTATTCCGCCTGTAAAAATATATTCCTATTTAAAACAGTTAAATTCTTAGTTATAGATAGATATTTAGCTTTTAAATTGCGAGACCGATGTTTTTGTTGTCAATTATTTCTTCAGTCTAGCATTTGAATTCCTCAACTGGCTACTAGCTTGCCTCTGGGGTGTGGCTACTAGCTTGCCTCTGGGGTGTAGCAGAATTATGAAAGATTATCATTTGTCCACATTTTTTTAAGGCATTCATGATCGAAGTGTTTATATTATTTTTACTTTTGTAATTTCATAAATAACAATTTCTTTAAGAAAAAAGCACATTCTTCTACTTACCAACAAATCTTGAACGTAAGATGCGGAGAGAGAGAGAGCAATTAGAGAAATAATTAAAGGTAAGTCAATGTTCCTTAATAGAGGAGATACACTGATACAACGGTATTTTGTACATTGTTCTATAGTGATCTTTAAATATCTTATGAAACCTGTCTACCCTTCAGTAAACTGGGGCACGGCTAGTATTGCGTAATACCGTTCTTAAGCAATGAACTGCATGATCAATTTTCAACCAATTTTTTAGTGGTTGTCAATGTCGCTTTAATGCTGTGAACTTGAAATATGATTGGGAAGACTACTGAACTAGTGCAAAAAAAAATTTGTTAAAAGAGATTTTCGAAGAAAAACAAAACACTTAAAGTAACATGAATCTCAGGTGCACGTAAGACAATATTTTCTACCCTTCAATGTGTCGATTGTTAATTGTTTAACATTTACAGTCTTTTCAATTAAAGCCTTTGTTACATGTTTAAATGATTTTTCTTGAGAATTCCCATACTATGCAGGATGTTGTCCTTCCACAGGAGTTTGATGATCCTTCTGAGCACATGCAGCAAGCGGTAGCAGCCCCTGTTAGTGCCACCACGAGTACGACATGTACCAACTACGAGGTCACACCTCAAGTATTGCAAAGTGTTAACATTAAGCAAGCAATTAATGTCTCCCAGTCAATCAACGCAAAAATTTTAAGTTCTGCATACATAGATCTCACATTATTGTTGGAAAATACTTCTACAAAACCTTCCACTGAAAATAACTATATTAAAGAGAAGGGGCAATTGATACCTAGGGAGGCATCTAAACTTTCTGCCAAATAGACAATATTGGAAAATGGGCAGACGCTTTCACAGTTTATAGCAGCATTTATTCATCTGTCCATACTCAGTCTATACAACGGCTTTTTAAAATATATGCTTGGATTTCACATTGTAGTTATCTTGAAATTCGTTGCCTGGATGAAAAAAAAAACGATGAACAGTTCCCGCTTCGCAGAAGTAAGTTCAATCAATACCATAGGGTAATGTTGACCAAAAATTATCGCACATGTTTATCTTTACCATCAGGCTAAAGCTTTAATATTACAGGTCTTGCTATGCATACTTCAAATTATTTATGTCATGTTTTTAATTTTATAGGGCTATGAATTTGCCTCATTTGTGTATATACTTATATCGTGTATAAAGCAAATCATCCAGTTGCTCAATGCCAGCTCTTAAATCCAACAAATTCTAATTCATAGGTCAAGGTAACAGCCAGCTCAACCAAGGGCAGAGGATTTATCCTCGAGCATCTCCTGGGTCTAATGCTCCAATGACTCTCAGTCCTTCTCGCCCCATACAACTTCTCTAGCAGGGCCAGATTCCCAACTAAACGTTTTCCAAAGTTGAGTAATTACATGTACATGTACTCAAATTCAAGCAGATACGAGGGATCTTGGATTGATTGATTGTATATTGTTTTACGTCCCATTCGAGACTTTTTCACCCATATAGAGACGTCACCATATACCGGTGAAGGGCTTCAAATTTTGACCTTTACTCGGCACTCAGGGTCATTGAGCAGTGAGGGATCTTTATCGTGCCAACGCCTGCCGTGACACGGGGCCTCGGTTTTTAAGGTCTCATCCGAAGGACCCGCAACTTTCACTTTAAAGTGCCGAGCGCATGGCGAAGGAACAGTTGCTACCCATTTTTTATCGACTTAGGTCAGTCACGGCCGAGATTCGATCTCACGACCTCCCGATCACGGAGCGAGCGCTCTACCGACTGAGCTACCGTGAACGGTAGGGATCTTGGAAAAACATCTGTTAGGGTGACAAAGAACTGGGTACGTTACGTATAACAGAGCGGCCCTGTCTCCAAATTTGATTTCAGTTTTTTACAAACATGTCTACGATGTGTCTTTTCAAAATCATTTTATTTTTTTTTAATTATCACAAACCGTTTTTCCGTCAGGCGTCTCGAAAAATGGGGAGTTTTCTTTAGAAATTACAAATTTTGACGTGATAACGTCATCACAGCATTACTGATTTTAACGTTACGTTAAAAGAAGTCTGTAAATTCTCTGAACCGGAAACTAATTACTTTAATCTGCCTTATGTTCCAGAAAACAATTTTGAACTTTTATTTCAATTCATCGTAATGTATCTTTGATAGCTGGAAGGAGTGTAATAATTTAAAGGAAAATATAATTTTATTACAAACGATTTCATCAGACAAGTAATGGAGCTTGATTCATCCATACAGACAAGACAAGGTACTACTTCTTTTAAAATTGTGCTCGTATCAAATTTATCATTTCTTTATGAAAAAATGATTTCTTCAATCATTTTCCGCATTGTCTATGAAGTTACATTAAAATTTTTAAAGATACATGAATCTATTAAAAAGAAAATTGGAACGTCCCATATAAAGTACTCAAAATTGGATTTTTGGCAATGAAAAAGCCATCAACACCACTCCCCTTTTTAACAACAAATGGCAGCGCTATTTATTTCTTATTTTCTATTTATTTTTTTTTTGGGGGGGGGAGGGGTATAAATTACACACTATTAGGGGTTACGAGGTGTCTTAAACTGCGTTAAAAAAAATTTTCTTTGATGTTAGGATTTCTTTTATAGATCGTTATTTATTCATTCCAGTGGATCCACTTTACTGCATGGTTCATGAAAAATACAATTTCCAGGAATAATCCCCAATATACCTACACACAATCACTTTCTATGTTAAAACCACATAAATTATTCAAGTTTTTTTCTATGTGCAGTGTACGCGGACGAATTGGTTTTGAGGTTATGAAATAAAAAACAAACACAAATTAAAATTGATAATACAAAGCTTTGAAACACAAAGTTAACTCAAATTAAAATCAACACATACGAATCTCTGAAATGCATTTTACTCTTTTGGGATTGACATCTCTCTGTTTTAAGTGGTGTATTAATTTTTTTTATTTCTAAAAACTTGGAATGGCCTTATCATAACTTGCGTTACAGACCTTGAAAAATTTTGCTTCAAATAAAAACTGTGAATCTCCGAAGGCTTAAGAAAAAGAGATTTGTTTAGATCCACTTTTCGATGAACAAAATATTTTATATAGCCAATGCTAATGATTTAATTTTAGAGACAAACACAGTACTTTGCATGTACATACTCATTATTTGATTAACAAAATCGAAAATTATATGCCTAAATCTGTGTAGTGAATTCGACAAGAAATGCACACGAATTCTGGGGAAGGGATTCAGAAGCTTGTAGTACACTCTAACCGGCATAATTCCCTAAAACTAAAAGTTATAAAAATAAGGATATAATATTATGTGTATGATTTACATATAGAGTTTATCCACGTCAGCTATGAAAATATGCGCATGTCGTCTTCAAAGCAATGCAGCATGAAAAGGCAGACACTTGCATTAATATCGATCAGTAAAAGATCGATCAACGGTCACAGTCGAGTGGGTAGCCAAAGGAAATTTGAAAGGGATGTATTTAGTTTTAAATCAAATTCTTGATATAATTTTTTTATTGGTACTCATTACAGTACATGTATAACTTGATTATCAGTAACCCCCTCCCCCACTTTTATTTACATAGAGACAAAATACAAATAATCGAAATGCAGAATAACAGAACACTCACATAGAAGAAGAAAAATTCACTTTTACGTCCCTTTTTATAAGCTACATATAGAGATTTTATTTCTAGTTCAGTTAACAAATTATACGAAATCTGATGTTATTTTGTTACTTGTGGGAACAATACGCAAAACACGTCACATTGCTTCTTTATAGAGTTATCCTTGCCATTCCCGGATTATAATACTAGCTTGATTATGTTTCTTTTACATGTTAGTGCCTGATAAAAAAAATCTTTAAAAACTGCTGACATGAATTGCGAGACGATACATCTAGTCATCTACTAAGACAAAAACTGCATTAAAATAGATACAGATTTTCTAGGTCCTTGTTTGCTCTGCTCCTATTTTGTATTGATTAATGGACTTTTGAGCTTGAATACTGCTCGTTATCTCCATATATTTCATCTTTAGAACTCCTCCCTATGTTTACATGTTACACAACCGTAGGTAAGATATTTGATATATTTCGGTGAAAATGATAATTTTATCACTTCCTTTGGATACTTTAACTCTCTGGGGCATTTCCTTCGCAATTCTGTGCATTTGTCCTTGTAGTAACGATAAAATACTTTTAATTTGTTTTTTTGTAACGGATTATCATCATAGACGGACGTTGAATCTTTAAAATTTAGCGATAATGTGCACGGCCGTTTTCACAGAGGTGATATTGGACAGGACGCTCCTCCAGCCCCGATGAACATCTATTAGAATACTAAACACCTTTCCTATATGAAATATATTACTATTATTTCATGGATAATCTGGATAAAATCCTTTTAAAAATACTCGCTTACTTCAAGATTAACAATAGTGTACATGTAGTTAATATGTACATTTCGTTTTTTATACAGATACATATCTATAGAGTAATCTTTTTTTTCTTTTTTTCATTTCAAGACTTGGAATGCGTTAAAAATGTATTAGGAAAACAATTTCTGAAAAAAAAAATTAACGAGTTAAATTATCGATTATGGAGCGGAAAGGGGGGTGTCTTGTCCACAAGTAATGCAAGATCGTGTGTATTCCTTACAGAACTGGGAACAGATAATCTTTATTTATAGACAATAAAAAAGGTTGATTGTATCATGTTTCACTTAAATTTTCGTAGAAAATGCCGAAAGAGTGCACCACTGTATATCTTTTTTAAGCCTTATAAACTTGGTCAACTTCCTTGTAAATTATAAATTAAACCCGATTTTACTTGAAAACAATGATGTCAATATTCCGATCAGCATGATAAATGTATATATAAGTAATAAGTGTAAATACATGTAAGGACTTTTCCATTCCCAGCTGCTGACCATCAATAAGTAAATGTAGGTCGGCAGTGGCAGATTTAGAAGTATTTGGTCATATATATAAAACACTTCCTGATTCTGCGATAAAACACTAGAATCCTTTCTGACATAATTAATTATGTCAAATAAAAAAAACTGCAACAATACAGTGA